AGGAAAGGAGAATCATCTCAAAACACTAGCTCTCAACCTAAAACGCAAGAACCCGGGGTTAGTAAAGAATTCTCTCGCAACAAAAATTGACTAGACAATTTGAATTGGATCTTTGATTATTATGGTTTGAAATGGATCTTTAGTTAATATTGCAGAGTGAAAGTGTTAATTGGTCGAACGCGGGAAACAAGAGCTTGCTAGGGGTAAAGCAACAGATTTATCTACCGGTGCTACTTCCTCGAAAGAGCTGAGTATAGTTCCGAGCCAGGAAAAACCCCCAGAATCAAGCCTTCAATCGAGCCTTCCTCCAGAATCGAGCCTTGTTCTATTGGAGAAACAAGTACCCACTGTTTCAGATTTAGTGCAGGAGCAAGCTAGATATCAGGAAAAGAGGGAAAATGCTTTGACAGAAATTAAACATACGAAGAGTGATCAAACAAGGAAACTTACTGCCTCACAGCAATCTCCTTATAAGGCAAACAGCACGGCCAAAGTGATCATTCCAAACAAAAAGTGAGCTCTAGGCTATAATCCTTTTGGATCAGTTAACAGGACCAAATTGAAAGAGCTCGCTGACTAGTTGAAAATTGATCTGTAAGTGATTGCTTTTCAATATTATAGCTTACTTTAGAACACAAAACTGATTGCTTTTCAATATTTTGTGTTTGCAATGAGTATAACAAGACTCTCGATAAAAGATCACGTACAGCACCAACTAAGTGGTAGCACACCATCCGGATCTCCTTAGCTTGCCTGGAAAATTGTGTAAGTCTTCTGCTATGACTTATATCTTCTACCAGTAAGTCATCTGGAAAGTATTCTACGTAGATGACTTACTTGACGAATTAGTAAGTCGTCTGATAAGTCTTCTTTGTAGAAGACTTATCGGACAACATACTGGTAAGTCACCTAATTTCTTCTGATAAGTCATCTACGTAGAATACAAGCCAGAAGATATCAGATGACTTACTAGACGACTTAGTAGAAGACTAATAATTAAGTCATCCAGCTGGAAGACTTTCCAGATGACTTAATTATTAGTCATCTGAGAAGTGTAACACAAATTCTTAATACATACTCATAAAGCCTGGACGACTTAGTAGAAGACTAATAATTAAGTCGTCTGTAAAGTCATCTAGCTGGAAGACTTTCCAGATGACTTAATTATTAGTCGTCAGAGAAGACTAACACAAATTCTTAATACATACTCATAAATCCTAGATGACTTAGTAGAAAACTAATAATTAAGTCATCTTGAAAGTCATCCAGCTGGAAAACTTTCCAGATGACTTAATTATTAGTCGTCTGAGAAGTCTAACACAAATTCTTAATACATAGATTCATATCACAAATTCTTAATACATATATTCATAACACAAATTCTTAATATATAGATTCATAACACAAATTCTTCTGGATGACTTAATTAAAGTTCATTCTTTACATTGTGCTTTTGTATGGCAATAAACATGAACTGAATTGGAAATCCTCTAGCTCGCTTCAGTGCGGGATTAATAGATTCATAAGCACTTTCCTAGCTTCTCCCTTATGAACTCCAACAGGAACTGAATCGGAAATCATCTAGCTCACTTCAGTGCGGAATTAGTAGATTCAGCGATGTTGCTTGTTTTTATGTTGTACTTGTCCCCTTGACAATAAACCCTTGACCATAGGCCAACGTCGGCATTCTCCAATACGTTGCAAGGTCCAGGTTTGCACTTTGTATCTAAGCCATATACCGGTTAAAATCTGAAACCGTATGAGCATAAGCAGCACCTTTCACCAAGTACAAGAGATGTTTCCCTTTATACTTTTTGACAATATTATCTTCAAGGTGATAATAACATATTCCTTGGGTTTCCCAAGGAAACACCTTATCATACGCACTTTTAATGGTCGTGTGCCAGTCGGAGACTATCACTAGAGGCTGCTCATCAGATACACAAGTAGTCAATTTTGTGAAAAACCATTCCCATGAAGGTTCATCTTCAGCATCTACGATCCCAAAAGCCAATGAAAATATCTGTAAACTCTAATCTTGTGCGATTGCAACTAACAAAACACCTCCATACTTCCCACTTAGGTGAGTCCCATCGACCACAATGACCCTTCTCTGATACTTAAAAACCTTTGATAGAAGCTCTAAAAGAGAGAAATAAATACTTAAATCTATTGATGGAATCAATTTCTATAGCCGTGATAGAATCGGGATTTGCTAACGAAATTTGCTCGAGATATGATGGCAGACGCGAATATCCATCTTCTACTAATCCTCTCACCAATGTTTGTGCATATAAAAGTGCTCTGTATAAAGTGGTGTAATCAAGCGTCATGCCAAACATGTTCTTCATTTCATCTGTGATATGCCGTAGAGTCAACCCATCGATGATTCCAACACGATCAATGAAAAGCCTACCAACATACTTCGGAGTACAGTGTCTCCGCTGAGCGATTCGGTCTCCCACTGAGCATGTATGTGTTTCCACATACTTTGTTACCCAAAATGTGTTTGTCCCATGTTTCACACTCGCTCTGATCTTACATCCACAACCACTAACCCGACATGTTGCCACAAGGAGAGTTTTCGTTGACTTGTATATTTTGAAGGAGAACTTACACCTCACTGCTGTCAACCACAGCTTTGAAAGCAGTGCATCCTTGCTAACAAAACTCTGGTTGACATAAATACTTTTACAATTCGATTTTCCTCCTTCAATACCATATGTCTTTTTGAAATCTTCAAAACACATATCATCATCTTCTTCCTCATCTTTAACCTTTTTATAAACATTGTAATCCTCACCATTCTCATCCGCTTCGGAAACAATAGAGATATCATCATCCTCCTCCCCATCATCCTTCTCCTCATCATCCTCTTCCATATCGTGATTTTCATCTTTAACGAAATCATCATCATTATTTTCAAAATATTCATCAGCTTCATCAGTTTCTTCCCTTTCCTCTGAAACGGTTTCCACCTGGCTACGGCTTGATACACAAAGCCGTACTCCATGTGTTTTGGTTATCTCGAGCATGTTTCGAACTTTTCTATCACTTGTAACATGAATAGGAGGGATGTTTGGATCCATCTGTTGAATCATTTCTGCTGGTAGTGAGTAAGTTATCTCCACAAATTATGTGCTCATGTCCAGGTTAAAATCTTCTTGACCCATTGAAACAAGTTTATCATGTGTCGAACCTTCACTCAAAAGAAACATTCTCGTTCTTTTGAAATTATCAACCAAAAAATCCCAACAGCTATCTTTGAACAACCATTCTTCATAAACTACATGTAACTGACGCATCATCTGCAAAAATTCAAAATAAAACACATTAGTAAACATAGAAAAAATGAAAGTTTACTAAACACAGACGCCGACGACATAGCAGTAAGTCGTCTGGAAGACTTAGACGACTTACCAGTAAGTCGTCCATAGAAGTCATTTTTTCAATTGACTTTTCCATGGGACGACTTATTTGTAAGTCGTCCAGCTTTATTTTTTTAAAAAAAAAACTCTAGACGACTTACCATTAAGTTGTCTAGGATAAACGGGTTAGTTTTGCATTTGACCGACTTGTGACAGATATTTGACTTTTCCTGAATGACTTACCAGTAAGTCGTCCCCGGGAAAAAAAAAATTTCAATAGTTAATTAAAGCTAGACGACTTATCTATAAGTCGTCTCAGGTTAGTTTGCAATTCGAAAATCAAACTTAAATATTTTACTTTTCCCAAACAACTTACTTGAAAGTTTTCCAGTTTGATGACTTACGAAAAAGTCGTCCGAATAAGCAAGGTTTGACCAGAATCTCGGAAAAAAAATCTGGACGACTTTGCTTATCCTGGAAGGCTTTCAAGTTAGTCGTTTGACTGAACGAAATTTCGTGTAAGTCGTCTGGGAGAAGTAAATATGTAAGTTTTGTTTTCCAATTGCAAAACTAACCTGGTATGACTTAAAGATAATTCGTCTAGCTTTAATAATGGTAAGTTGTCCAGGAAAAGTCAAATATCTGACACAAGTCGGTCAAATGCAAAACTGACCCGTTTATCATAGACGACTTATTGGTAAGTCGTCTACGGTATTCTGTAGATTTTTTTTAACAAACAAAGCTAGTCGACTTAGAATTAAGTCGTCTATTTGACCAGAAGACTTACCTGCAAGTCTTCTACAGGTAGAGGTCTTCTACGCGAACATATTTGTTAAAAATTCCAATTTCATTCCTTAAACTAGTGAGATGACTTCCTTAGCACACAGATCTTCTCCAACCCACCCAGAACCTCAAACAAAAATAACCCACGATTAATAGTAAGCTTGAATGGCTCTGTCAACCATAAAATAATTTGAATCAAAAGCTTGAGTTTTTTGGATGAATATGGAGACAAAGTGAAAGAGATGTTGTTTTTAGTTCATAACAATTGAGAAAGAGAAAGTGTAAATCAATTTTAGGTGCATTAACAGCTTCAAATTGGTTGTTCATGGTAGTTAGTATATTGATGGAAATGACAATCTTGTAAATACTTGAAAATGATGAGGTTGAGAGAGTAAAAAAACAATTTTCGAAAAAAATAATAATGGTATTTTCGTAAATAATGTGAACAGGTGGGTGGGGTTAATAGGACAAAAGAAAAGTAAAAAAAAAAGTAAGTTTTGTGTTTGACTTTGAGTTTTAAGTCAAATTTGCAAAATCCCTTAATCTCATTCTCTTTATTATTTTTTTTACAAAAATATTCTCAGAAAGATAGAATATTTTTCACTTTTCATTTTCCAATGGTGACATACATTAAACAGACTATTGAAGTATATGGTTTAGTATAGTTAATTTGGTTTGGTTATACTCGGTTTCCTTTCGCCGGTTTAACTATTCTGATTTGTATATATGTATTGACTACTATAAATAGCTCTCTGTAACGAACAATTGTGGATAATGAAAAAAAACTTTTCATTTGTAACAAACTCTCTCATCATTCTCATGAATCATAATACAGACCAACATGTGCAAATGGGAAAACTCGCCGAGCAGGCGGAATGCTATGAACTCGCCGAGCAGGCGGAATGCTACGAGGAGATGATCCAGTTCATGGAGCAGCTCGTAAGATGCGCTACTCCGAGAGAGGAGCTCACCATTGAGGTGAGGAATCTGCTCTCAGTTGCCTACAAGAACTTGATCGGTTCTGTCTTCGATTCACCAGCAGGAAAAAAGCAGGAAGAACGAGGAACACGTGGATCTAAGGTGGATTACATATCTAAGGTGGAGTTAGAGCTTTCCTCCATATGTTTTGGGTTCCTCAAGCTCTATGACTCACATCTGATCCTGTCTGTGGCAGCGAGCGAGATAAAGGTGTTTAACATGAAAAAGAAGAAAGATGAAGTGATAACCGATTACTGATGAAATAATCCAGATAATAACAATAATATCCAGATAATTGATATACATTACATAATTTATTGGATACGAGAATGATATTCAGATTCGAGTCTTATAATGATAATCGGATACTGACTGAAAAACTTATTTAACAATAACAATGTATAGATAGTTATTTAAGTCAGCCGACCAATGATTTATTAAATAACTAAAAACTATAAAAAAATAACTGGATAATTGGAATAATATCTATTATATTAAAAGAGAAGTCAAGACTCACTTCATGTGTGATATTTTAAAATGAACCATCTTTTAAAATTTATCACATACGATTATTCAGTCATTAATTAATAACCTTAAAATTAGTACCTATAATTTTGGGCTTTTCAAATATTTTTATTGGGCTAACAACAATTAGATAACCCATTGAATTTATAAATAGTAAAATAAATCACATGTTTAAATTAAATAGATATATAATTTAGTGTTGTAAAGTATACTTCCATAATTTAATAATTTATATATTTGTCGATGTTAACTTTCAAAATCATATAGTTTATTTTTTAAAATAACAAAAATCATCATTTTCTAGTAATGATTAATCTATACTACCTTAAACCAATGAAAACGTTTTTAAGTTATATAGTTTATTTTTAAAAAAATAAATGTCTAATTATTTACTCCATAATATGAAGCTAAAAGTTTTATTTTTGTTATACTTTGTAAATTTCAGAAATGTTACAATATCTTTAAAGATGAGAGTAAAACAATATTTTACCAATCTTTACATATATTTACGACTTCAGTAATGAAATAATAATCCAAAAAAATATATATATAGAAGAATATACAAATACATGTAAAGATTTGAAACAAAATATTCGATGAAAAATTAATAGATGATAAAATTATTATCTTTTAAAAATTGATATACACACCTCATATATATATATCAATTTAGAAGTGAAAACAAATTGTTTTTAAAAAAATTGAAAACAAAATGTTTCTATAAAAATAAATGAAAACAAACATTCGCGCGGTTGCGTGGATCGAGATCTAGTGTTGGATTGTAACACATAATATATCATTTATTTTTTAAAATAATATTGTTCATCTAATCTTTATCACTTATACGGGTAATTTATATGTTGGATGTTATTATTTTATATTTATTGTAGTGAATTAAAAGCGAATCTAATATTTAGAAAATAAAAATATAATGTTAACCGGTTACAAAATAGACAGTTAATTAATATCTTATAACATATAACGTAGTAGTTTCAAAATTTCTAACAAACTGAGTCTAACTCATTATAATGAGTTAACTCAAATCCAATTCACCTAACCAACTCAACAAAACAATTTATCTTGCCATTATTCTGATCGAGATTTTTAGTTTTCACACTGAGCTCCTCTCCCGTCGTACCAATTTTTATGAGGTAAAAATTCACATGACCAAAATGAAAATTTTATATTTTTCGTTGGTGATGATGACGTCTGCAATTTTATGAACATAGTCATCTGAGAAAGAAAGATAAAATTAAGATAAAAATATATACTAGATTTTGACCCGCGCTTGAAAGCGCGGAAATTTTTTTTGATTAAAAGTCTATATAATTAGGTTTTGTCTTTATTTAAAGTATGTTTTGGTATAAAATCAGTAATCCAAAATTTGTGGTGATGATTGTTTTGCATTAGTTTTTAGTTTTAGTTTTTATTTTTCTATTTGGTTTTAGATTTTGGTTTTAAGTTTTTAATTTTTAAGTTTCTAGTTTTGATTTTCAGCTTTTGGTTTGTGTTTTTAGCTTTTAGATCCGCTGAGTTAGTTTGAACTCATAATTATCAACAAACAAATCCCAAAGAATCGAACATCTAATTTAAAATTGAAAAGATGACAATTTTTATTTAAAAAAATTGCAATAGTTTATTTTGTAAATAAACAAAAAAAAGAAAAAAATATAACATGCGTTTTCAGCTTTTAGTTTTGGATTTTAAGATTTGGTTTTTAGTTTTGCTTTACATTTATATTTTTAAAATCAGTAAATTATTTAAGAAAAAAACTATTATAAAAGTTACCATTGAAATTTATCAAGACAGAGTGATTGTTATTTAAAATAAAAAAATATTAACTTGTTTTAAAGTACATGATTTAAATAAGTGATTAATAATATATTATTTTGTTTTGTTAAAATATTAAATACTTTTGGGCCTTAAAATAGTAACTGATTTTTTGATCCATTAAGATAGAACATTTATTCAATGTTTTTTGGAGTTTTTCTTTAATACTAAGCCCAAAACCCAAAATATATAATTTGTCATAAAAACAAAAATAAGCCCAAAACTCTATTCCATAAATAACTGCCGGTTTAATTTGAGTAATGCGGTTCAATCAACTATATGACTTATATTATTTGTAACACTCTAGAAATGGTCTAAATTTAAATGACAACTTATATCAGTAGATAAAAAAATGACTCTATTTTAATAGCGTAGATATATAATTATAAAACTAATTATAAGGTGCTTTTTGCAACTAGTAAAAGGGGTAATTGTGTCTTTTTACTCTATTCTTACTTGGACGTGAACATGAATTTTCAAAAAATTTCATATGTGCAAATTTTCTAGTTATTGTATATATTTCATGTAAATCTCTTATATATGTGTCTTCACCACAATCAATTTCACTAAAACTATGATAATATGTTCACTAATAATGATTAAACTAGATTTTGACCCGCGTTTGAAAGCGCGGAAATTTTTTATGATTAAAAATTTATATAATTGGGTTTTGTCTTAATTTAAAGAATATTTTGATATAAAACCAGTTCACCAAAATTTGAGGTGATGATTGTTTTTCATTAGTTTTTAGTTTCAGTTTTTATTTTAGATTTTGGTTTTTAGTTTTTAAGTTTCTACTTTTCATTTTCAGTTTTTGGTTTGAGTTTTTAATTTTTAAACCCGCTAAGTTAGTTTGAACTAATATTACCAACAAAAAAATCTCAAATAATCGAACATCTAATTTAAAACTGAAAAGATGATAACAAATTTAAAAAATAAATTTGAAATAGTTTATTTTGTAAATAAACAAAGTAAAAAAATATAACATGTGTTTTCAGCTTTTGGTTTTGGATTTTAGTTTTTAGATTTAGTTTTTGGTTTTGCTTTACATTTTTTTAATCAGTAAATTATTAAAAAAAGTAAAACAATAAATTATTTAAAAGTTACAATTAAAATTTATCAAAACAAAGTGATTGTTATTTAAAATAAAAAAATATATTAACATGTTTTAAAGTACATGATTTAAATAAATGATTAATAATAGATAATTTTCTTTTGTTAAAAATATTAAATACCTTTTGGGTCTGAAAATAATAATTTATTTTTTGATATTTTAAGGTGAAAATTTTATTCAATGTTTTTGGAGTTTTTTTCTTAATATTAAGCCCAAAAACCAAACTATATAGTTTGTTCAAAAAATAAAAGTAAGCCCTAAAATATATTCCATAAATAATCATTGGTTTAATTTAAGTATAATTAGTAGATTTCCATATTCCATATTTTGATGATATATATTCTTTTAGAACATTCCTTATTTGTAGAAGAAAATATGTGTTTTCGGTATACACATAGATACCTACCGTATTTTGAAGGTAGTTTACATTAAGGTCGTCTCTTTACATTAATTGTGTTGGTTTAATTTAAATAATACAGTTCAATCAATTATATGACTTATATTATTTGTAACATTCTAGGAAGGGTCCAAATTTAAATGATAACTTGTAGCAGTAGATAAAAAGAATGACTCTATTTTAATACAGTAGATGACTTTGAATTAATTGAGACATGTACATTTACATTTAATGTTAATATATATATTTGGTAAGTTTTTAGTATATGGCAATAACTCATAAATTATCATTAACATAACAATAAATAATATAATAGTAGAAACATAAATATAATAATATTTACAAATTTTGAAATATTTTCCAAGTCGATTTTATATAATTATATAATTTTGTTAATATTTTTTTACAAAATTTTATGTAGGGTTTTCTAATCCCAATACCGTTAGTTTTATTTATAACATCTATAAATATTAGAAATATTCTTTAATTTGATATTTTGATAATTATATACCTAACAAATTTTCTCATAACTGTATAGAATATAATTGAACATATTTAAAGCAAAATAATAAAATAAAAAAATTTCCAAAATTATAATTTTAAATATATACAAATATATTATTAAATATAAATTTAAATAAAAGTTGTTTTTATCTTGTTTTTATATATAATTAACGTAAAATTAATAATATAACAAAATAATAAATTAAAAAATTAACTAAATTTTATTCTTAAATATACTCTATTAAAATAGAGTCATTCTTTTTATCTACTGATACAAGTTGTCATTTAAATTTGGACCCTTTCTAGAATGTTACAAATAATATAAATCGTATAATTGATTGAACCGTATTACTTAAATTAAACCAACACAATTAATGTAAAGAGACGACCTTAATGTAAACTACCTTCAAAATACGGCAGGTATCTATGTGTATATCAAAAGCACATATTTTCTCCTACAGATATGGAATGTTCTAAAAGAATATATATCATCAAAATATGGAATATGGAAATCTACTAATTATACTTAAATTAAACCAGTGGTTATTTATGGAGTATAGTCTTGGACTTACTTTTATTTTTTGAACAAATTATATAGTTTGTTTTTTTGGCTTAGTATTAAGAAAAAACTCCAAAAACATTGAATAAACTTTTCACCTTAAAAGATCAAAAAATCAATTATTATTTTCAGACCCAAAAGGTATTTAATATTTTTAACAAAACAAAATTATCTATTATTAATCATTTATTTAAATCATGTACTTTAAAACATGTTATTATATTTTTTTATTTTAAATAACAATCACTTTGTTTTGATAAATTTCAATGGTAACTTTTAAATAATTTATTGTTTTATTTTTCTTAAATAATTTACTGATTAAAAAAATGTAAAGCAAAACCAAAAACTAAATCTAAAAACTAAAATCAAAAACCAAAAGCTGAAAACACATGTTATATTTTATTGCTTTGTTTATTTACAAAATAAACTATTTCAAATTTTTTTAAAAAATATTTGTTATCATCTTTTCAGCTTTAAATTAGATGTTCGATTATTTGAGATTTGTTTGTTGGTAATATTAAAAACCACAACCAAAAACTGAAAATGAAAAGTAGAAACTTAAAAACTAAAAACCAAAAACTAAAATCTAAAAATAAAAACTGAAACTAAAAACTAATGAAAAACAATCATCACCACAAATTTTGGTGAACTGATTTTATATCAAAATATTCTTTAAATTAAGACAAAACCCAATTATATAAATTTTTAATCATAAAAAATTTCCGCGCTTTCAAGCGCGGATCAAAATCTAGTATAATTTTATTTTTAAAACTTTTATTTCTGTACTTGGTGCAAGAAAACACCTGTTACATATGTAAGATTGTCTTTATTTTCATCAAATAAAAATAAGGAAAAAGTTGCTGCACAAATAAAAAAATCTTTGTAAAATTTATGAAAAAGGTAAATCTACAATAAATGTAAATTCGACAAATATCTACTAGACAAGTATTGGAGATTGACACAAATCTGACTCCACGTGTTATGTCTCTATCCGAACTGTTTATAGGCGAGTCAGAGAAGAAGAAGCAAGAGAAGAGGACAAGTCGTATAATTTGTTTTATTCTCTCTTCCTCTCGCGAAAACCCAAAACTCCTTCAAGTCTCCCCATCTTCTCCTTCCCGATTCTTTCGTTAAAAGAGATTCAATCTTTTTCATCTTCTTGTTAGCCCTAAATCCCTAATTTGAAACGCCCTTTACGATTCCTTTTCCTCTAGCATTTGATCTGATCTTGGGGTCTTCTTGATCAGTAAATCAGTATCTTCCCAACCCCCAAATTGAATGATGAGGAAGAGAGAGCGAGAGAACCCTTGTTCGCTCTGTGGGCACTATCACAAGTACGAGGAAGGAGAAGTCTGCGGAATCTGTGGCCATCGTAAGCCTGATTCCTCCGATGCCGTGGCTCCTCAAGTCCACGTCAGCGCTTTTCCGTCTGAGATCTTGCCGGAGTTTCTCTACCTCGGAAGCTACGACAACGCCTCCCGCTCTGAGGTTCTCAAGACTCAGGGAATTTCTCGCGTTCTTAATGTGAGTTTCTTTGTAATAAATCTCTTCAATTCTTAAGAGGGTTAAAGATTGTGAAATTTAGTTGTGTTTACTCTCAATCTAGTCATTGTATTGGTTTAGTCTTAACCGAGTTATGAATTGGTTCGTTGACCCATTAGAGAGTGTAGATGAATCTTTCAGTTTTTTTGTTTCTGTTTGTGGTAATTGAAAAGAATATATCTTTTGTTCCAACAGACGGTTCCTATGTGCCAGAATCTCTACAGGAACTCATTCACTTACCATTGCCTCTCTGATGAGAAAGTCTTACAGTTCGATGATGCTATCCAGTTCCTAGGTTTGATTCGTCATATTTCTAGCTCCAAAACATTGGTCTTCCTTTTATTATTCATTCATACTCTGTTTGATTTTACTCTGTAGACCAGTGTGAGAAGGACAAGGCTCGTATTCTTGTGCACTGCATGTCAGGGAAAAGCAGGTGAGTATCATTTATCATTCAACCCCCAACTATAAGTCATACTTTGTAGTTGCTTAACTTTTACTATGTCTCGTTTAAGTCTTTTTCTTCTCTGTTCTTACATATTTAAAACCTTTTTGAAGTGATTTTTTTTTTTGTCATGATGTGTTTTTTTCCACTGTAACAGATCACCAGCGGTTGTTATAGCGTACTTGATGAAACGTAAAGGGTGGAGACTCGCTGAGAGTCTTCAGTGGGTTAAGCAACGGAGACCCACAACTGACATAACTCCAGGCAACCACTAACTCACATTTTAGATTTCAACTTAATTATTCTCGAAACTGCTCTGCTCATTTACTCTTATTTTTGTTATTTATTCGCACAGAGTTCTACCAACAACTGGAGGCGTTTGAGCAGACTATACTTGGATCAAGAGAAGGGATGATGGCGGCGATGAATATCAACGATCCTCCAACATTTGGGTTTGGTTTCCCAAAGGTTAATAATAATAATAGTCAAGCGCAAATCCCTCTGTTCAACAATGCTTCTGCTGAATCTATATTTTCGTCCCCTGCTTCAAGTATCCCTCCTCAAGGATTCACTTTTGGAGCAGCTCCACCAAAGCCAACAACAACCGGCGATGATATTATCATGGGTGGCTCTTAATACCAAAATATCTTTCTCTTGCAAGAATATTCCAACCTAAAACAAAACATACTGATCTGAGACTGTTTCCTCTTTTTTTTTTTTTAAATTGTAAATGGGATACTGGTGCATGAAAGTTTGGGGTTTTAAGAGATCACATAATATGAATTTTTATTGTTTTGCGTCTATCTCTCTTTGGGATTTGCCTATTTGATAATCATGTACCCATCTTGAAAGCGAATTAACCATTACATTAGTTGTGGCAACCGACAAGATCCATCCAATACGGTCTTTCTATCTTTTACTTTCTTAAGCTAAATCTATCTCATTCACCAAGATAGGTGCAACTCAGTGGAGTTTTATAGAAACAAAACCCACGCATAGCACATTCGCTGATGTTGAGACAAGTTAGCAGTAACAACAGCGAGGTCCTTTCAGTTGAAGGATGGTAAGAAACATTCTTCGTGACAGGCTTCATCGCTTGGCATAACTAAGAATAGTCGAAGCTGCTAAATTGCTTGGTGTATATCGATGAGAATCTAAATCACTGCAATGAACCCATTTGCCCATTCCGCTTTCTGATGGATGCAAGAGCTGTGCCAACTTTTCAGCAGCAACAATTTGTTTTTCTCTCATTTCTTCATCCAAGAGCAGTCTCCTACAATTTCACACAACATCATGATGCTCATTTCTCAAATTTACATTGGGCAAAAAGAAAACAGAAGTATTACTCAAGTATCAAGGCAAGATTAGAAGGGTTGCAAGCTCGAAACAAAGCTTCAGGAATGATTGGGGAGTCAAGCAAAATGTTTGGGAGAGAAATGTAAGGAATCTTGGCTTTGTAACGGATGAACAGCTCTGTTAAAAAATGTGCTCGGTAAGCTACAAGGGAAGGTAGACGAGCTAGCTGCAGCTCAACAGCAACTGTTCCTGAAGTGCATAACGCAGCTCTACTCACCTGTAATTATTGAACACCACTCAGTGAGAGGAGCAAGACAGAAGAGACACCGAGAAAAGAAGGTGTTGGAGACTTTACGCCAAAGGCATCATATTTAAGCTGAGTGGATCCACTAGGGACTAGTATTGTTGGAACTGGCCAACCATGGAGAGTTTTTCCAATGTAATGATCCACTTGACTGTTGGATGCAACGTGGATGAGCGTTACTAGTTTAGGAAACGGGTCTTTGAGTAGCTTCATTGCTTTGGAAAATATTGGTAGCATTCTTTCAACTTCTTGTAATCTACTCCCAGGTAGAACCGAAATAAACGTGGAGTCTTCTCTCATGAATGCAGCAAGAGAGAAATTAGAAACCAACAAAATTAAATAAAAACCAATGTAATCATTCACAATACCAGATGGTAGTGTGTATTTGCTTAAAAAATTCAAGTCCTCAAGCTTCGATTCCTGAGTAGGTTTGCAAGTTCTCACCTGTATCAACAAAAAATACTAAGGAATCCAAGAGAGTATCATGGAAACAGAAGTAATCCAAGAATAACTAGATGCGTACAAGGTTGTTTTCAGAAGCATCCTCAAGAACGGGGTGTCCAACAAAGGTTGCTTCCACCCCATGTTCCCTACAAACCCTTGCCTCGTTTGGAAGAATACAGAAAAGATGATCAACGAACTCAGACAGACCTCCAAGTCTTGATTCCCCTCCTTTCCAGGCCCAGAACGACGGTGCCACATAATGAAAATGCACGGGAGAATCCTCCAAGCGAAGCTGATTATATCTAGCTGCAAAGCCAAAAACCATTCCTACATGTTATCTGAGTTCTTAGCTCTTAAAAGCCATTTCTAAGGTCCCCATCTTTACCACAGAAAAAAAAAAAAAAATCAAGAGCATTATCCTAGAGACTAGGGTTCGGATTAAGCTTGTCACACATAAAACTTGTTACAAAGCCGTGCTTTTCTAATAGGACACTAAATAGACCATATTCTCAGTTATTCCTACACATTGATCCTCTCTTACAAGCAAGCGCAAAAAAGAAAAAAGAACAAAAAACAAGTTAGTGTTGTTTACCCCTTAACTCTTTAAGTAGACGGAAAGAGAAGCCCTTTGAATCAACAGTCACAACAACGTGTGGCTTGAACATAGCTGCAGCATCAATGGTCTCCTTCAACTTCGCCTGCAATCGGAAAACCAGAGAAGTAAATAAAAGAATCTAATATCAAACTCAACTCCAAGGTTAAACACTCACACGGAACTTATAAAGATGCGGCAAAAGCTCCCACACACCCATTACAGCCAAATCCTCCATGGGAAACAACGAAGTCAATCCTTGCTTGCACACCATTGATCTTGCAGTATAAAAACCAAATTTGTTAGACGTAGATTTTCAATTTCCTTCAAAACCAGACGCTTACCCTCCAACTCCATGGAAACGGAGGGGTATAGGAGAGAGCTTTTTGAGGGAGGACATAAGACGAGAGCCGATGTTATCGCCGGAGACTTCGCCCGCGACGATGAAAACTCTTAGCTCCCCATCCGCTGCCGCCTTCTCGATCACCGATTTCGTAGCTTGGAATGAGGAGAATCTCTGGGTTAATGTTGAGAGAGGGAAAGAGAGTTTGATCTTTGAAACTCGGAACATCCTCCTTTCCAGAAGCTGTACAACTAACAAGACTTGTAATTCAACTTTAAGACATGTTAAAGTTTTAAAAAGAAATCGTATATTGTCCCTCAATGAATAGTCCAAAGCTCTACGGTAGGCTGAGACTTATTATCCCACATTCATATTCAATCCGAGATCCGCTCCGGAACCACTCCAAAAATAAGATATCCGGATGGCCGGATCCGAATCCGGATATCTTAACTTTTAGGCCTGGATATCTGGATCCGAATCTGTATTTTAAAAATATATTATTTTTTTAATTTTATTATTAATTATATCTTATAAGATTAGTATTTATATATAAAATAGTATAATACTATACTCCCTCTGTTTCATTATAAGTGTCACTCTACAGCTGTGCACACGGATTAATAAAACAATTAATTTTACATATTTCCTATATAAAAACACAGTTACCAACACACCTAACCATATTTTAACCAATAGAAAAACAAATTACATAATAAAATTAATAAATTTTGCATTGAAAACTGAAAACGACACTTATTTTGTAACGCAAAAAATTCTCTACAACAACACTTAATATGAAACGGAGGGAGTATGTCATTTTATATTCATGAAATTTGAAGAAATATTTAATTACATATTATTTTTAGAATTTTTGATTTTTTAATATTTTTGATTTTTTTAATATTTTTGATTTTTTTTTAATTATTTTTACATATTCGAATCCGAATCCAGATATCCAAAAGACGCAAATCTGGATCCGGATACTAAAATCACGGGTCCGACGAATCCGGATCCGGATACTTTGATTTTTTCCGGATATCCGGATCCGTCCCAACCCTAGTCTGTTGGATCTCTTATATTTGAGATATAATCTTATATGCTATTAATGAAAGCTAAAAAGTATTATGACATACTCTTAGTGGCATACTTTTATTTGTTTTGATATTTTCTAGGAGTGTGGTTAATATCGAAAATGTCTCTGACTAATTTAAACTTAAATTAATGGGCGAATTATTAATTTTTTCTCCTTTTCTCTCTCTCTCTCTCCCTCCCCCTTCCTCCCTTTTCCCCCTCTCGATCGAGTCGAGCCTCGAGCCCCCTCCCATCTTTCCTCTTCTTTCCCATTCCTTGATCCTCTCTCGTCCTCCTCGTGGGCCTGTGTTTTTCCTCGCTATCATCGAATTGTTTACTCGGCTTCTTCGCTTGGATGTTGAATGATCTACAGGGTATGTATCTCAAATCGTTTTAGAATCCACCATAGACGATTGATTCGATTTATTCACAGGGATTTTGATTTGGATCGGAAAGTTTGGATGGTCTGTTTAGTAGGGAATTCAATAATCAACAACTATATAATTGAATGTCGGAAATCAAAGCTGATTACAATTTGGTTTTGAATTGAAGACTCGATTCATAGTAATGGAAAATTTCTTATTAATTTGTGTATGAGGATCAGAAATTGTAGATGATCTGTCTATTAGTCATTGGATAATCAACAACTGTATGATTGAATGTTTTGAATGAAAAGACGATTCAATCAAAGAAAGCTGATTACAATTTGGTTTTGAGAGAAACATCTAGGACTCTGAAACTTGGAGAAACATTGTTAGAACGACGTATAACTTTAATGGTATAACTGTATAACGAGGTATAACTTTAATGGTATAACTGTATAACCAAGAAATTTTTTAATGGTATAACTGTATAACCAAGTATAACTTGAATGGTTTAATTTTTTTTTTTTGCAGACAATGTGTCCTTTTTCGACGAACATCCACTTTTATTATGATGGACATTATTCGAAGGCTGGAGATGATTATGAATGGATTCCAGCCGATGCTCGTTTGTAAGTTACATCCTTTAAGATATCATCATTGGGGGAGATCACTTATTCATTGTTGAAGGAGAGGATATGCAAGAAGATAAAAATAGATCCGTTTACGAAGAGGTTCAATTTGGATTTCATTCCATTGGTAGTGGAATCTAAGAGGAAATCATATATTTTGGATGATGACGATATGTTTGTTTATCTTACATCAGTGGATAAAGATCAAAGAAGAAGTATTTTACATGTGGAGGACATCCAAGAATTGCAAATAGTTCAAATAACCGAGAAATTGTCAAGAGTTGGGGAAAGCTCTAGTAGTAGGAATTATAGTGAACGTGGGAGTGGATATGGAGAAGAAGAGAATGTGGGCGCTGGTTTGAAACACGGTGAACACCCCCAGAAAAAACAGAAGAGGAAATGTTGTGAGGTGAAGTAGGTTGTAAGCCTTTCACTTTCAGTTTTGATGTTTTTATCATCTTGTGAGGTGAAATTTGTGAGAATTTGTTTTTGTGTGTTTTACAACCAAGTGAAATTTTTTTTTTTACTGGTATAACTACGATAGGTAAATTAAATAATATGATTGTAAATTCTAAACTTGTTCATAAGTCACAGAAGTAATAATATGGTAATTTATTATTAATGTTTATGATAATTATGATCTAACCAGAATTATTAAAATTTTATCTCATTGATTGTTAGCAATCATTTAAGAAATACATTGCGTTCTCATAGATTTTTCGTTAATACCGACTTCGTTACATTTGAAAATTTGTTAATGGTACGAAATCAAGTTTATGTGTACATGATTGTATGAGAAATGAACCAAGGAAACACAATTTAATTGATATAATTATAAAATTAGTCATTCAAGTAGAGTATAACTAAGATAATGGAAATAATTAAAAAGTAAAACTTTGATGTTTTCTGTAGAACTGAAAACTTGGTGAAACATCTAGCACGAAAATCATTGGATAAAATTTCTCGCTCAGATTTTTGAATTTCTAATTTCCATCTTCCCAAATTGCTAAAACCCCAAAATCACAAAATCGTGTAATCGAAGTATTAAAGATCTTTTTTTTGGTTTTCCCCATTCGCTATCTTCTCTTTTCTCTCTCGTCCCTAATTTATCTCTCTCCCAACCACGATGTCCGCTTCATCTTCCACGACCAGTGGTCGGCGACGAGTACGAACTCCGGAAGTACCTAGCAAGTGTTGGTGCAGGGTGAGCCCCACTGAGCTCATCTCCAGAAACAATCAAAACCCATATCGCCGATATTATTTGTGTCTCTATGCGGCTTCACAAAGGGTACATCCGTTTATCTTTAAATATTTAAGGCTTATTCGTTCTTCTTTTAATTGATACTTTTAATCCATTTAAGCTTGAGAACATTAATCACGTCTTCAAATGGGTTGATGAAGCTTTCACCGATGAGATACAACAGTTGGACTACCAAGTTCGAAAGCTAGAAGAAGAAGTTCAATTTATCAAAGCAACAATAAGGATGACTGAAGGTGAACATAGTGAAGGTCCTATAATAATGCCCAAGATATCAGGAGGTTTTGTTATTCTCACCGTCGTTTTAGTTTTAGGAATTATGATGTACAAGAAGTAATTCCTACAGCTATGATAAAGTTAAACTTTATGTTTTTTCTAACTTTTTGTAAGTTTCTCCTAAATTATGCGGAGTTGGATAATGTTGGACCTAATTTCAGTATCTAATTAAGTAGGCCCAAGCCCATGCAAGATCATCATCAGCTCGACGCCGATCGAATACGATGAGGCCGAAGTAGTATCCCGAAGATCGCGGAAATGGTTGGGAGAGAAGAAGACTATAAAAGAAGAGTTAGAGCAAAGCGTAGGCACACAGAAAACCCTAGAGAAAATCACTACTCTTATCAACCTCACTTCGTGGACATTTAGTTCACATATAACTTTCATCTTTCTTTGTTGTTCTCGATCTTGTTTACTACTTTGTACCAAATCACGTATTCAATAAAGTCCATTTTTGTCAACCAAATTTTGATTGTATCGTTGCGTTCTAAGAGCATCGTAGCCCACATCATTTGTCTTCCCCAGATTAAAATCTTGATCACTACAAAATACTTAGTGTGGATTTTAGGATCTACATTTTGGCGCCGACTGTGGAGAAGATAAACGAAAACTGCCCTTGCTAAGAACCTCATCTAGGATCTCTAAGTACGATTATGGATCCCACCAATTTCTCACGAGGAGATCAAATATGGGTTAGGAAATAAAATATCCACATAGATACACCCTTTTTCTTTTATGTAAAAGTGCAAAGTTGTATACGGAGAACCATTTCTGATAATAAACAAAGATAAATTCTCACTTCTAGAATTCGATTTAACTACATGAAGAGACCTTGATCAAGTCTTCAGAAACGGTTAGGATCCCGCTAAAAAAACACCGCACTTCATAATAGTAAAATCATTACTCAAACACAACTTAGTGACGCGATATTTATCCAAGTTCATCTACGACACCGAAATAAAAAAAAAAAAGGTCGCAAGCTTATAGTAAACTGAAATCAAACAAACCATTATTATTCGCAAGTCTTTATTAAAATTGCCAAAAAGAAACTAATCGTTGGCATTGAACTCGCTCTCTTCGTAGCGATCCCCGTTACTTCCCTGCTCGCGACCAGATTCGTCTCCACCAGGGGGATCTTAGAGAAGAAATCCACAGGTCAATCCTCAGAAATCAGAAGAAGATCCAATTTCCCAACCGAAAAATCCAATTCCGCCGCCACATCAAGCTCGGCTTCTAGTTTGACCTCCTTAGCTCGAAGACATGATAACTCGTCAGAAGCGAGCAGATAGTTATTCATTATCTCCTTAATGAGTTCGATGTTAGCTATGACCTCCTTCAAACAAATTTTGCAATCCGCTGCAGATTTGTTCTTCTCCCACTTCTCCTTCAAAGACATCAACACATCCAGATAGTCGTCCACTAAAGTCTTCTTAGCATCATATGTCGCATGATGAAGCTCATCCGCGTGGTTCATTGTCAGAGATTCAATTTTCATCTCCAACGCGGAAACCTGCTCTAAAGCCGATTTCCTTTCATTCCCGACGATCAAAGACGAGCCTCAAGAGAAGCAGCCTGGTTTCCCAATTTCTCGGCTGCCGACAGTTGAGCAACACTGGCACGCTCCCTATCTTGGGCCATCTTCAAACTGAGCTTCAGTTCCCGAACGACCTTTTTGACTTCGTAAAGCTCGTCAGCTCGAGGA